TGGTTGCCATTGGGAGTGATGGGAGGAAAGGTGGTTACAGAGCAGGGCTCCGTAACATTGGTGGGAATTATGGGAACTCATGGTGAGAGAGGACACGATAGTAAGTATTTTAGGATTTGTGGACCGTTCTGTCTCTGTCACGACTGCTCAACTCTGCCCTTTGGGCACGAAAGACTGCTGCCATGGGCTACAGGCAAACGGTTCGGCGTGCGAACATGGTAGCTGACAAAGGGTTGCTTGTCCCCTGAAGAGGAAGGGCAGCAACAGCTATAGGGCAGGTAGAGGACTTGATGAAGTTGCAAAGGTCCGGATTCATTGCAATCTTTGCCCAACTCAGGACACTTATGTAGGTTGGGGCCCTGGTTGCCAAAACCTCAGACCCGGAAATATGGGGCGGAGACATCTGGGTGTATGACTCCAAGGACATTGGGGTATCCCAATGCTGTGTCTGTCTGAGCACCCAGTTGTCACGCCGTAAGCCTAACTCTATCCTTTGAAGACCTAGAGGATGCAGAGGTGATTGGGGGCCTTAGCAGTGCCGTGGCGCTTGCAGGGAGGTGCCCATTCGTAGCACATCCTGCTAGATGCTACCGAGTACTGTCCCTGAAAAAGGCCACGGGTGAGGCCCTCAGGTGCGGTGCCCCCAATTCTCTGTGACCACTGCTCAACTCTATGCCTTTGGAAGGAAAGACTGTACCCATGGGACACGAGTAAGTGAATTAGCGTGCCTACTCTTCACGAATGCTTTATTGGCCGATCAGCTTCTGCAGTCCAGCGTTTGCCTTGATGCACCCCTCCCCCCCCCACACACACACCCTTTAAGTCAAAGGCGAGAGTATTCCAATGGCCAATCGATTCTCACCATCCCCGATCATGGAGATGGAAACTAAAACCCACAAATCATGTTTCACACAACCGTTAAAGGAGTTTAAAGTCCCCAAGGGTTACACAGGCTGTCAGGATAGCCATGCATTGACACATTCCTGGAGAGTGTGTAAACTGCGGCAAATATTTGGGAATGGTAGTTTGCTGAGACTGTAAATAGGAAATT